CGCTTATTCGTGAAATAAGCATGTTAAACCTGCCGTTATCAAAAATTACAATCCCAGCAGAGCTCGGACAACTTCTGCGAAAAAGGTTCCAAATGAGGAGTACTTACTTACTTGAAAAAAAAAAAATAAGGCAGAAACGCGATTTTTATTAATACTTACTTCCACATTTATACTTTTCACAGGCAGTCCTTCGGGGACCGCCTCGGGAGAGAAGGATGCGGAGGAAGAGGTGTGGGGAGGAAGCGAATCAGCCACGTAAATTCAGTGAAATCAAGAGAAGCGTGGGTGACGCAACCTAACTTCAGATCTACATGCAGTGGTGTATACACATGAACATGTTTCCCCGCTGTAATGTTGCACAGTTAGGCAGAATCTGCACAAATGTTTCCCTTTTTCTCTTTTAATCACTCAGCAAATATAACATATCGCAATCTTCGGCACTTCATCAACTTCATAACCGTTGTACTGACGAGGTCCAGTTGCACTGCATGAGTAGGGATGCGTATGAATTAATGGAAAAAACAGTCTTTTCCTGATTAGTTTTTACTATTTTTTTCTATATATTGTATAAATCATTACAACTATCTTCATTACACCATTTTGATTTCCATCACATTGAACTGTTTTCAGCTAGAAGCAATAAACTCTAGGTCCTGAGCCTTGTCTGACTTGTCTGCCCTGAGCTTTGTCTGCCTTATCTGTCCTGAGCCTTGTCCATTACTTCCCCTATTTTCGTTCCGAACTGTGATGCGCAAGTCTTTCTTGTTCTGCCGGTACCATAACGCGAGGGCATCCGAAAAGCAATTAGCAAGGCAATTCTGTGAAAATTATTTCCTTCCGTCCCGCTCCACAGGTTTTCTGGGTGACTTACAGCGCAGTTTGCGGTAAATTATGGGCAATCCATTCATTAGCTCGCAGCACTGTTTCTTGTGGTCAAGCAAAATTGTCTCTTGTTTCAGATATGCGGAATCCGACTATGCAATTTGCGCCGATATCAGCCAAGAAAATGGTGCCGGTCTTAGTTTTTTTAAAAATGTTAGGAAAAATTTAATGTGCGGTTTCCTGCTAAAACACATCGAAAGCCGCGCATTATTGAGTGCTACTCTAGGACTGAAGGTAAGCTTTTCGACACCTAAAATTTGAGGTTACTCTCTTTGCAGCTGGCCTTCTGAGGAATGACTGGAGATCTTGGACAGTACGTCTTGAAGAACGTGGTGACTTCTCGCTTGCTGAGCCGACGATAAATTTCTTTCCGCTTAAGAGGAGGTGGTTTGGCTCGAAACGTATTGACGTGTGACTGCTGCGAGCTGAGAATTGATAAAGTGTCTGGCGCATCTTGCCAGTTGCTACTCGGAAACTTTTTGTTTTAGTGGAACAGAAAATGCTTCCGAGTATTGACTGTATGTGTGTTTTTAGAAATTCAGAGTCACGTATAGTTTTTTTTTTTTTTTTTCATTCCAGGACCTTGGCCAATTCTGAATGCTCAGAAGTCCAGCTGCCCTTCATATTTCACTGACTGTCTATTGGAGGCGGAGGAGGCCGGAAGTAGATCGAGTGATTGCATGTGTAATGTCGGGCAAGTCGAACGCACCTGTTCAGAGTGCGGCACTTTACACCAAAAACAAATTTTGTTTAAAATGAAGCAAAATCCAGAAGAACAACAATGACTACAGCATCAGCCGGCCGCAGCACGACGTTGCTGCCACTCCAACAGAAGAAAGATCATTGGCGACGCGCAATGGGCGAGCCCGTGCGACCATGAGTTTTTGTAGTGTTTCGTGCTGTAATGAGATCGCTCGGAAACCCAGTGGCTAGAAATGTGTGACAAACTGGTCCTCGAATTTCGGGAAGTTAATTATCTACGCTGTACCTGGACAGGGAACATTCCCTAAAAATTTCAGTCTTCCAACTTTCCCAGTTTCGGAGCTAGCCACTTCCCTGCCAAAAATTTTCACAGGGCCGTACGTGAGAACCACGTACGGAGATGGGCTAAATTTAGTAATTTTAAGTTTTAAATGCGTTGAGAACATTTCTTGAAAATTTCAGCCTCCCAGCTTTCCTGGATCTCAACTTAGCGATTTTCCCGTTAGGAATCTTCACGGGGCCGTACGTGAGAAGCACGCATGCCTGGAGACTGAATTTGAAATCTTTGTGTTCTATGCGGACGGGGAACATAACTGCAAAGTTTCAGCTTTCCAGCTTTTCTGGCTCCCGAGTTAGTGATTTTCCCACCAAAGCTTTGAGAGGCTCGTACACAGGGCTTATATATGCGTGAGGCCAGTACCGCGATCCTGGGATGACACTTGGTCGGGAATCCACTGGCAAAATTTTGGCACCGGAGCTCGCCTGGGTGCCGAGTTGAAATATCCGGATAGACGCACACACATACATACATACACACACACACACACACACACACACACCGGGGTCGCTACAATGTGCGTTTTCGCAGTTGCATATACGCAAAAACGCATAAATATCCAACTACCATTGTTTCCAATCATGCCACATATTGCGAAGGAAACTCGAGGCGAGACATTTGCATATCACATGGGAGCACAGGGCAGCTGGGGCAATGAGAGAGGGGACCGACCGGCATCATTCGTTACTCGCATCTGCCACTGTTTCGTTTTGCAACATTTGTGTCAGCAGCAGCAATGCAGCAGTTGTTGCTTTCTCGTTCAAAAATTTTACGGCAAAGAAGCAAAAGTGAGCCTCACTTCCTGGCACTCATGATTGGAAATAGTGTTTTTTCGAGAAGCGGAACTGAGCAACTGATCTACACCTTAGAAGCAGTGCTGACTAGCTAGATCGAGTGAGAATGTTAATAGTTCAAAATTACTGCATAGTAATTAATGAAAAAAAAGTTTAGGCGCAAATTCCGGAGTATGGCATTGCGCTCCGGACAAACGTTCGAGAAGATGGGG